ACCTGTGGAAAGCATTGAAATTGAAAAAAGAGATGTTTGTAGCAGCCCGCTGGAAGGTCCCAGGAAATAGTGAAAGGATATTTGCTCACAGTATTCTCGCGTCCCCGGGGGTTGCAGCAAAAGGTTTTATGCATCACCCTATGCGCTCGAAAACTTCCTAGTCTTATGGTTCGAGGCTTACCATCCTTCCTTCTCCATTAAATATCTGTCTTTGATATGCAAAAACACATGATGTGTGTACTTATTCTGCTTTTTCTCTGCGTTTCCACAGGAGGCAAGCACTACAAACACAGGCAAGGTTCAATTCCTATAGGTAACGCTGAAAACTGAAACACGAGATCCTTTAATCCTATAGGGTTTCATACTGACATACATACATACGTACATACGTACATACAGACATACGCAGTTGTTGTAGGGCTAACCCCGTGAAAGCTTTAGAGGTAAACCCTTAAAACCCCTGGACCTGCAAACCCTATAAGGTGTAAAGGTTTAAACACCTGCCTAAGGTCTGGGCATTTATACCTTAGCGCCTATACGGTTAAAAACCTTTGAACCCTTTAGAGCCCTATAGGGTTTCTCTATGGGCTTAGTTTTACATGCCTAAATCTTAAACCCTAAACCTTTAAATCTTAACCCTATAGGGATTAAAGGTTCGCCGAAATACGAACCTAAATGGTATAGGGTTAAGGTCTCAATACCTAAATCTTAAACCCTTAAGGTTTAAACTTTATGGGCTTAGGTTTACATGCCTAAATCTAAACCCTAAACCTTTAATTCTTAACCCTCTTGGGTTTAGCAGGGGCGGGAAGTCGCAGCATGTAAAACCCCAAAAACGCAGCGGCTGACTTCGCCCCCCGAACCAACACATACATCCTATGTACCTGTGCGACGCGTTAGAAATTCTACCTTTTCACACAACGCATATACTCTTCGTTTTTTGGAAAGAACACGAGGGACGAAGAGAAAGGACCTTCTCTTCCCATTTTCCTCGTCAAAAGGAAAAAGAAAATATCTGGATAGAATTGAAGAGAGAAGAGAGCGATGGAAAAGCAATGAGAAACAAGAAGGATAGCCTTTTCAGTCTATATAATGTTTCCTTCTTCTGATCGTTTGTTCTTCTGTCTTCGGTTTGTGCCTTGCCTTCCGCTTTTCCTTTGAAGAAGACAGAAAGGAAAGGGTGCGAATGGAGTTTCCTTTGCACGCTTTGATGAGAGGAACACGTAAAGAAGAGAAGAGAAAAGAAGAGAAGACATGGAGACTGAGGACAGGGGGGGTTTCTTCCTCCTCTGACCTATCCATTTTCTGAATAAGATAAAAGAGAAGCGCTCTTGTCCATTCTTTGTTGTGCAGTCTCTTCCTCTCTCGCTGAATGAGAAAAGAAAAGAGCAAGGCCACCGAAAAGGGACAAGGAGAACTTCTTCTTCGTTTCTTTAGCAGTTCCCTTGAGTTTCCTAAGCAAAAAAGAACAGAAGACCTGGGAATGCAGGAGAGAAAGAAAGCAAAGAGAGGGTGTAAGGGCACTCAGCGGCCTCCCTTCTTGCCACGAACAAAAACAATCCATCCTCCCCTCTTTTCCCGTCCATTAACTTCTCTTTTCCTTGTCCTCTTGTGTATTCATTTGTCACGTGTAAAAGAAAGCAAAGAAGAGAGAGGAGAGATAAGAGAGACGAGAGAGGATGATGGTGGCGAGATTCATGTGTATTCTTGCATGTTCAGTTTTCCTGCTGTAAGAAAAGCGCTAAAGAAGTGGGAAAACAAAGACGATGCAGGATGAGTAGTGAGTGAAATTGGCGCCTTGCATATGTATTTGTCTTTCTGTAACGAGATAGACTACAGAACAGGGATAAGAGGGCAGAGGGAATTTCTTCGCCCTGTCGTATTCCTTTCTTCCAGACGAGAAGCAAATGGATAAGACAAGATGGAAAGAGACATTCTTTGCTTCGCTGCAGATTGTGGGAAGAAAACAATGGGTTTAGAATCCAACAGTAGACTGCTTGGGGAACAAGGTTTCCCTTTGCTCTTTTTGTGAAAGTCGGGCAAAGAAGAGAGAGAGAGAGAGAGAGAGAGAGAGAGAGAGAGAGAGAGAGAGAGAGAGAAGAGAGAGAATGCGAAGGATGAAGGTAGGAGATGATCTGCAAGAAGAGAGCTGAACAAGATCGAGAAGAGAGGAGAGGGAGTTTCTTCTTCTTCCGCTTATGTATCCGTTGTTTTTTTTCAAGCGTTCCTTGCTGTTTCCCTTCTACTGTGTCTTCCTCTCTTGCTGACTGAGAAAAGACAAGATTCTTAAGATCAAGGACAGCGAAAGGGACAGGGAAACCTTTTTCGCCTTTCTTATCTGTCCCTTTGAATCTCCTCAAACCATGAACAGAAGACATAGGCACGCATGAGAGAAAGAAAGCAAATGAGAGCGAACACAGGAAATCAACCCTGCTCCAGGAAAAGAGGGAGCCCCTTTCTGCAACTCACAAAACAATTTTTTCTTCCCTCTCTCTGATCGTCAGTTTGCTTCTTTTTGACCTGTCTTATTTTGCCCGTAAGAGAAGACAAGCACTCGGGTCAGCTCCTTGTCGTTTTCTCCCAGTTGTCTCTTCATGTCTTTTTGTGTATTCATTTGTTTCGTATGCAAGAAAAGAGCCAAAGCAGACGGAAAAGCGAGGAGTGCGTTTCCTCCCAGTCTTATGCGCTCATTCTTCTCAATAAGATAATAGAGAGAAGCACTCTGGTTCATTCTTTGCTGTTTTCATCCTACAATCTCTTCCTCTCTCGCTGAACGAGAAAAGAAGAGAGCAAGGGCAACGACAAGGTACAAGGAAAACTTCTTCCTACTTTTGTCCATTCTTTATTGTTTTCCCCCTGCAGTCTCTTCCTCTCTCGCTGAATGAGAAAAGAAAAGAGCAAGGGCAACGAAAAGGGACACGGAAAGCGTCTTCCTCTTTTTTTTGCAGTTCCCTTGAGTTTCCTAAGCAAAAAAGAACAGAAGACCTGGGAATGCAGGAGAGAAAGAAAGCAAAGAGAGGGTGTAAGGGCACTCAGCGGCCTCCCTTCTTGCCACGAACAAAAACAATCCATCCTCCCCTCTTTTCCCGTCCATTAACTTCTCTTTTCCTTGTCCTCTTGTGTATTCATTTGTCACGTGTGTAAGAAAATATTTGGCTTCGAACATCCCCACCCTCTCTTGGTAGAGATACTCTGGGGTTGGGCACTCCAGCAACACTCTGGGGCTGGGCTCTCGAGGGAGACACTGGTTTGGGCTTCAGGGAGACTCTGGGTTTGGGCACTGGGGTTGGGCCTCTGGGGTTGGGCCTCCAGAAACTCTGGGGTTGGAGACTCTGGGCTGGGCACTCCTGGAAACGGTGGGGTTGGGCGCCCTAGGGAGACTCTGGGGCTGGGCTGGGGTTGTCTGGGGTTGGGCACTCCAGGGCCACTCTAGAGTTGGGCACTCCAGGGACACTTTGGGGTTGGGCGCTCCAGGGATGAGCGAGGAGTAGACCGGGCGAGGAGAAGAGTTCCGGGCGAGGAGAAGAGTCCCGGGCAAGGAGAAGAGTTGAGTTCAAAATCAAACAACCCCACACCGAGGGTGGGCAACAAAGAAGAGAGAAGGGAGATAAGAGAGACGAGCGAGGATGATGGTGGCGAGATTCATGTGCATTCTTGCATGTTCCGTTTTCCTGCTGTAAGAAAAGCGTGGGAAAAGAAAGACGTGGCAGGATGAGTAGTGACTGAAATTGGCGCCTTGTATATGTATTTGTCTTTCTGTAACGAGATAGACTATAGAACAGGGATAAGAGGGGAGGGGGAATTTCTTCGCACGCCCGACTTTCACAAAAAGAGCAAAGGGAAGCCTTGTTCCCCAAGCAGTCTACTGTTGGATTCTAAACTCATTGTTTTCTTCCCACAATCTGCAGCGAAGCAAAGAAGGTCTCTTTCCATCTCGTCTTATCCATTTGCTTCTCGTCTGGAAGAAAGGAACAAAGAAGAGAGAGAGAGAGAGAGAGAGAGAGAGAGAGAGAGAGAGAGGAGAGAGAATGCGAAGGATGAAGGTAGGAGATGATCTGCAAGAAGAGAGCTGAACAAGATCGAGAAGAGAGGAGAGGGAGTTTCTTCTTCTTCCTCTTATGTATCCGTTGTTTTTTTCAAGCGTTCCTTGCTGTTTCCCTTCTACTGTGTCTTCCTCTCTTGCTGACTGAGAAAAGACAAGATTCTTAAGATCAAGGACAGCGAAAGGGACAGGGAAACCTTTTTCGCCTTTCTTATCTGTCCCTTTGAATCTCCTCAAACCATGAACAGAAGACATAGGCACGCAGGAGAGAAAGAAAGCAAATGAGAGCGAACACAGGAAATCAACCCTGCTCCAGGAAAAGAGGGAGCCCCTTTCTGCAACTCACAAAACAATTTTTTCTTCCCTCTCTCTGATCGTCAGTTTGCTTCTTTTTGACCTGTCTTATTTTGACTCATCTTCTTGCATTTTATCCTTTCTCCTTTGTAAGAACACAGCCAAAGAAGAGGCTGCGGGAGGGTGAACACCTTTTACCGACATATTCCCTTCAATCTACTCGAATAGAAGACGGAACAGAAGACGTCGGAACACGAGAAAGAAGGCAACAGAGGGAGAATTACTGGAGTCTGCCATTTGCTTTTCCTGTCTCCTTTGTAAGAAAAAGCCAAAGAAGAGGTTGAAGAGGAGACGGAGGATGAAGAAGGCAAAATGGAAGGAATGAGCGGGCTCAACCCTGCTCTAGGGGGGGAACCCCCTTTTGCAACGATCTCGTCTAGAAGAAAGGAACAAAGTGTGCGTGTGTGGGTGTGTTGTGTGTGGAGAACAATTAAAAGGTCATATCATACATAAAGGTTCCTGCCACATATATATATATATATATATCCATTTAATTATGTGCTTATATTTATCCTTATTTCTTTTTGAACTATTCATTGTATCTTTTTGGACATGATGTTTCTAGACACTTTCCAGCAAACGATGCTACTGAGACACAAGAAGCCTACACCGTCTCCTCCGAGACAGGGAGCTGCAAGCGAAGGTCCTCCAAGGCTGCCAGCAGGCGAGCGGAGACTTGCGCCTCATGCTCGGCCCCGGTTTGCTTGGGCGGCAGGTGCGCCACCAAGCCGATCAGGCTGGAAAAGCTCATCCGGGCAAGCGTCTTGCGCAAGTTGCGGATGTCACGGTCCGTCACGGCATCCCCCGACTCCGCAGAGCTTGCTGAGCCGCTTGCCCCCGCCTCGAGGAGCGCAAGGATCTCCTGCACCTGGTCCGTGAAACCGCGCTGCTCGGCCTGGGTGCGGCAGAAGTGGAGGGCCATGGACATCAGCTGCGGGCGACTGAGGTGCTGCACCAAGATCCGCTGGCGCTTGTCAAGCTTGGGCATCGACTTCTCGTGGGTGAGGTGGCAGTAGGCACAAGCCTGGCCATTCCCACAATGGCCGGTCGTGAAGTAGATGCAAGGGCGGCGGCACACGTCCGGGTGGCCCCTACTCCCCAAGCTGGGTGCAGTCAAGGCTGCATGGACGTCCATGGCGGGAGTCACCGGAGAAGTTTCGGAATCCTCCAGAACTTGGGGCACCCCTGGCTTCCCAAGCTGGGCGGCATTCTGTGCAAGGCTGCTTACGTAGCTGCGCGCCTCCTCTTGGTCTTGCGACTCCATGCTGAAGCTGCTGCGGCGTGTGCGGCCCGGTGGCGAGCTCTGGGCACGTGCAGCACGCGCTGCCTCCCCGAACTCCTCCTTCACGGCAATGAAGGTGTTGCGGTACTCAAGGGCCATCGCACTTCAAGTGCACACGTGGGCTTCAGACGCGGGATGGGGCAGGCAACCTTCTCAAAACTTTAGCCAAAATGGCCGGGGCACGAAGTGAGCTTTCGTGACCTAGTACAGCCACGAAGCCGCACGAAGCTAGGTCTCCCGTCTCCCCCGCAATGCCGGAAAGCATATCCACATCCAAATCTGAGGCCCATCTGCTTATTATACAGGGCCATGACAAACACAAATTGACCCGGAGGGTCCACCAATAGTACCATTATGGAAGTTGGCACCCAAAGAAAACCTATTTTGTATGCTTTCCAGGTACCTACTTCCATAATGCTACTACACAAGGAGCACTCAACCCTAAGCAGTATGTAAGACCCTAACCCCTAAACCCGAAGTCCTGAACCCTAATTAACCCTACACCCTATAAACCCTAAACCCTAAACCCTAAACCCTCTCTGTGCGAAAACCTCGCGGCAGCTGCGCCGCAGCTGCGCTCTTTTTCGGACGCAAACGTGGAATGCCTCGGTCCCCGTGGGTCCAAGTCGACTCTCCAGATGTGCGGTTTAGGGTTGACAGGGGGGGTCAAGAAAGCAATCCTGCGGCCCTCTTTACCTACAGCTTTCTACGCTGTACGTACCTGCTGTTTACGAGCAGTTACTCCTAAAGTATAGGTAAACAGAGTCCCAGGTAGGGTTTAGGGCGGTCAGAAAGCAATGACGCCAGGGCGGCCTCAGTGATAGTTCTAGAGCACTATAGGGCTTCGCTAGGCCACTGAATGTCACTTCACTACTATTTGCTTAAGAACCCCAAAAGAATACAAAATAACAATCCCTATATTCCCCTTAATAAGGAAGAATATTTTTTTTATGCAACTAGTAGTTCACTGGCACGTTTGAAGCCCCTTGTCTAAGAGGCGCATGAGGTAAAACATTGATGAGGTGCCCCTTTGGCCTTCGGAACACGAGTAGGGGAGCTAGATATTTCCTTCGCTGAAACCCTGGTATTCTGTGATATTTTGCTGAAATCCATTTCTCAAACCTTTTATTGGAAAGCTGTAGGGTTGTCGGGCGTAGACTGTAAGGATCAGGGATTTGGAAATTTATTGTCGCCAAAGCTCTTGGAAACATTGGCGAGAGTTGTTTGCGATTAGCTTGGGGCCCCGGGGGCTTGCCCGAAACCGGGAAAAAACATAGCTTTTTCTAGTTTTTTCTAGCTTTTTCTAGCTTTGGGGCCCCGGGGGCTTGCCCGAAAACCGGGAAAAACATAGCTTTTTCTAGCTTTTTCTAGTTTTTTCTAGCTTTTGCTAGCTTTTTCTAGCTTTTGCTAGCCTTGCCTAGCCTTCTCTAGCCTTTCGTAGCAGATCGGGGCCCGATTCCAGGAAGGATTTAGCGAGCCGGGGTCTAAAGACAGGAATGTCGTAGCAAGGTGGATGGCCAGCAAAAAAAGTCAAAGTCCACTTCTGATTGCCAGGAATCAGTATTGTATGAATGCGTAGATTTTAAGGCCGATGCCAGTAAGTAACGCGCCCAAACCTCAGGCGCCGACAGGTACAATTTCAGATTAGATTTGATTGAAAAAGCAAGCTGTAGTTTCCTGCCGGCATCTTCTGTACAGGCCCTTCAAAGGCATGCTTCACCCCAGGAAATTCGTAGCTTATCTTAGCTTATCTTAGCGTATATTAGCTTCTCCTAGCTTTGCCTAGCTTTCTCAGGTTTCCTTCAGTTTTCAGTGGAACGCATTGGAATTCCAGATTTTTCCGGTAATCCAAAGACGAGCCTGATCATTGTTTTACCTCATGTGTTCTTATGACCTTGGTCGAAACTCGTTTCCAGGTAGTTCTTGGGCTGCCCCATCTCAACTGAAACGAAATCTTGGGGACCAAATGAAACCCAAAAGGGTTTATGGTACATGTATATGACCCCCTTTTTAGGAATCATTTGGTCCTGAAGGAAGTCAGTGAAGGGTTGCCCATTTCCCTAAGTCATTCCACACGTGGGAATGGAGGGAATGCCTCTGCCCGCTACGGTGTTTAGGGGGCATTATGCTCCGGCTCACACTTAGGATTAGGGTTTAGGGTTTAGGGTTTAGGGTGTAGGGTTACGGGTTTAGGGTTTAGGGTTTCGGTCCCCCCTTCCAGCAGCCGCCGTTTACAAGGATTGTGTGTTCAGGGGTGTGCTGACTAGAAGAGCTTGTTGTGGCAACTGCTACGTACCCCTAAACCCAAAAACCCTAAACCCTAAAACCTAAAACCCTAAACCCTAAACCCTAAATCCTAACAGCCCAACCTCCGAACCTCGAAGCCCAAAGCCGAAACTTCTGTCAATGATTGCATGTCATTCCTTCAGAACGGCCGTTGTATCCTGGAGGTTGTAGGGCCCTGGGCACTGGGGCCCAAGGCGGGGAGGAAGGGGGAGCAGGGTAACCCTAAGCCCTAAACCCTAAACCCCAAACCCTAAACCCTAAACCCTAAACCCCAAACCCTAAACCCTAAACCCTGTTTAGCAGCGAGGCACCCTTCAAGGGCTTCTGGGTTCCCATGCGAGCCAGGAGAAAGGCAAGGCCGTTTTGCTTTTTGGGTTGACAGTTTAGGGTTTAAGGTTTAGCAACCAAATTGAGCCCAAACGAAAAAGGAGACATCTAGGACTTGCTGCAGACCCTTTCAGGTCTCAAGATGGAAACGCACCAAAAACTCAATCGCATGAGCGAGCAAGTCAAGGCTGCCATTGCAGAGGACTTGAGACCAGAGGCATTTAGACCATGCCCCTCCATCCCACTCTATCCACAGCTGCTGAAGCAGAAAACTGCGCGGGACGCAGCAGAAGACTTGACATCCTACGGAGAAAACAGGGCTTCTCAGCCTGATTCCCTTGGGCACTGTGCCCTTGGCTGCAGCATCTCAACTGAACACACATGCTATAACCCCCCCCCCCCCCCACTCCGTGAGGACTACGTGGGTACAAGTTGGACCCTAAACCCTAAACCCTAAACCCTGAACCCTAAACCCTAAACCCTAGTTTCCACACCCTCAGCCAAGCTGCCGTCAGTTGGGAGATCAAGGAAAGCGGAAAGCCCCAGCGCAATGCGAATCAAAGAATCTCAGGGCAGTTACATGGTCCCTTACACGGGGACCCCTTGTATACTTCTATACCCCTTTATATACCCTACACAACCCAAACATCAGAACCCTTTAAGGAGGGGAAGGGACCATGACACAACCCTACCAATTGCTTAAGAACCGCAAAAAATTCCAAACAAAATCTTCCTTATTAAGGGTAATACGGGGACTATTATTTTTTGGGGTTCTTAAGCAAATAGTAGTACCCTGAGAAAGAAGCAGACCCGGAACCACTAGTTGCTTCCAGGCCTGCACGGCCAGGGGCGCCACCATCGAGCCGCAAGAAAGGCTTTAGGGTTACCCTAAACCCTAAACCCTAAACCCTAAACCCTATAGTTCAGACCCTAAACCAAATAATAACTGGCTACTGTAAGGCCAGAAGCGATTCTAAGTCCCGAAAAGTACAGGCCAAGGCGATCTTGCATGGCTGAATGGTGAGGTCCCTATAAGAGCTGTGGCTCTGCCCATATCGCCCTGCGCACGGATGAGGAGTTGGGCGATGTGATTGCGAAGTTTAGGGTTTAGGGTTTAGGGTTTCTACGCTGAGAGGCCATGCAAACTTAGCCTGGGCTTCGCTATCAAGAAAGCCGCCTAACTCCTCTCCCACGCAGGCCGAAGGCCTCGGGCAAGCAGCAGAATGATGCAGTTTTGTGGCCCATCTGCTGTCAGGAATGTATACAGGTGCATTTGTTGAGAGTGTGTGTGTGTGTATGTTTTTTTAAATGTATGTATGTATGTATGCATGCATGTATGTATCTATGTATCTGTGAATGCATGTATGTATGTACGTAACCAAATAAATACACAGAGCATCGAAGCCACACGTCCAAGTATCCCTCCTTCCTCTCCATTCGGCTGCATTTGGGGAGAGTTTCGGGTGAAGGTGGAGGGTTTGGGGTTTGGGGTTTGGGGTTTAGGGTTTAGGGTTTAGGGTTAGGGTTTAGGGTTTAGGGTTTAGTGTAGGGTTTAGGGTGGGAGGTTGATGTCTTAGGAGAATTTCGAGATGAAGGTGGAGGGTTCGGGGGGGTTTGATGTCTTGGGGTTGAGCTGTTTCTGCTTTCGGTTTCCTTGTGGCCAACAAGTGGAAATTTGGCGGCTAAGCTGCCCCTGTCGCCTGCATGATTGCTTTGGTGTAGCGATACTACCGGGGTACACCCCACTGGCATGGTAGGTTTTAGGGCTTAAAGGTTAAAAGACAGCTGCAGGGTGTACTCGGCTATCGGTTTTTTATGCGGCCTTTTTTGCCACCTGCCTAAACCCCACCTAGGGTATACAGAGGCTAGGGGCGTTTGGAATGTTTGCGATTTAGGGTGAAGAGGTGGGTGAAGAGGCGGACTCAGGTATGGCGTGTTTGGGAGTTTGGTGCCCGGTGGCTGGGCTTCGACTCTCACACTTGCATGCTAAATGGGTTTAGGGCTTGTCTAGCATTCGAGGCTTTAGGGGGCCACTGCCACTGCGTCAATCAGTGCAAACATCCCCCGGAAAGCTTCTTGTGCAGCTGCCCGGTATTTTCTTGGCAGCTCCTATCTCTCCGGCTTTGGAGAATCCACATCAACTCCCCCATTCCCTTAGTCTCTTGGTTGTCCAGTAACCTGGCGAGCTAAAGGTTAACACTTGGGATTGTAAGGGGATGATATTACCCCGAAAAGGTTAAAGGTTACCTACTCTACTACTAGGTTCTCCTCAACTACAACCCGGAGCCGTGCGTCTCAAACCCTCAAGAACGTTTTGTAGGTCCTCATCATAAACTCCCTTGAAAGGATTCTTAGGCAACCTACAAATGAAAAGGTATACCCTCAACGCCACAGGCTTCGGATGGATGCTCATGCCAGAGAGATGTGGATGGTTCCCTATTTTGGCTTGCAGAAGCCCAATGCCGATCTGGGTTCCAGGGTATGGG